AGGAAATATCAGGGAGTACATTATGGAAATGTCTCATATTGCTTCAAAGCTTAAGGCACTTAAACTCGATCTTTGTGACGAGTTATTAGTGCATCTGGTTTTGTTGTCTCTTCCTGCACAGTTTAACCAATTTAAGGTCAGTTATAACTGTCAAAAGGAGAAATGGACTCTAAATGAGCTCATTTCATACTGTGTGCAAGAAGAAGACAGGTTGAAGCAAGATAAGACAGAAAGTACTCATTTGGCCTATGCCTCTAAGGATAAGGGCAAGAAAAGGAAGAATGATAAGGAAGCTGCTAAGGGTCTAGTTGAGAAGAAACAACATAAGGATAATCAGGGTTGTTTCTTCTGTAAGAAGCCTGGACATGTAAAGAAGGACTGTACAAAATATCACGCTTGGCGTGATAATAAGGGTACGTTCCTTGCTTTGGTCTGTTCTGAGGTTAATTTAGCTTCAGTACCTAGAAACACTTGGTGGTTAGACTCTGGTGCTACTACTCACATAAGTGTTTCTATGTAATTTAGCTTCAGTATCTAGAAACACTTGGTGGTTAGACTCTGGTGCTACTACTCACATAAGTGTTTCTATGCAGGGTTGCCTGAGCTACCGAAAGCCAAGTGATGTTGAAAGACACATCTTTGTGGGCGACGGTCAATCGGTAGATGTGGAAGCAATTGGGCACTTTAGGTTGTTGTTAGGAACTGGTTATTATTTGGATTTAAAAGATACTTTTGTAGTACCGTCTTTTAGACGGAATTTGGTTTCTGTTTCTGTATTGGACAAATCAGGTTATTCTTGTTCATTTGGAAACAGTCAATTCAGTTTATCTTTTAATTCAAATGTTGTGGGAACCGGTTACTTGAGTATTTATGACAACCTATATTTGCTTGATACAATTGCTTCTTACAATGAATCCTTGCATGTGGAATCACGTGGTACTAAGCGTAAATTAAATAAGGAAAATTCGGCGACATTATGGCATAAGCGCTTAGGTCATATCTCAAAAGGTAGAATTGAGCGTCTTGTGTCTGATGATATTTTAGATTCCCTTGATTTTTCGGACTTCGACGTATGTGTTGAATGTATCAAAGGAAAATAGACCAAAGTGAAGAGATTAGGTGCCAACAGATCTTCGGATGTCTTAGAATTAATACATACGGATATTT